ACACATGATTCGAGGAATCATTCATGTCTGGAGAACAATCGCTGCTGGAAAATTTTGAGACTTTAAAGGTTAGAGGTTTGAAAAGTGGCAAGTACTTCTAATAATTGTACTAACTATAGTATTTTGGTCGAAACTAACAATTTTTTTAATGTTTGTAAGGATTGAAGTTTTGAGCATAGTGTATTTATTTATTCATTTTGAATTTGTCGTAATTGCTCATTTTTATTTTATCTATTTGAATTTGATTTATCTTAATGTTTGTTTGTATTTATTTTAAATGCATTCATTTATTTTGATTTAAATAATAATTTATTTATTTTTAATTTAATGTTATTTTATTTTATTTTTATTCATTTGTTAATTTTATTTATTTATTTATTTTAAATGTATCTATTTTAATTTTAATTTGATTAATATTATTCATTCATTTTAATTTCAATAATTTATTTATTTATTTTATTTATGTATTTATCTTAATGTCTGTATTTATTTATCTCAATGTTTATTTTTTCTTTATTTTAAATATATTAATTTATTTAAATTTATATATATATATATATATATATTAACTGTATGTGTTTTATGTGGCTTGCTGTAAGTTTTATTGCTATATTTCTCTCTACAGGACATGAGAAGACATGTGATCATGACTCTGCTGGACACTGAACAATCTTACGTTGAGTCTCTGCGCACACTCATTCAGGTATGAAACATAAATACATACATGTAGCTGTCTAAATGAATACTGTAGGCTGCCTTTGAGCTTATATAAAGCTGACAATATTGACTACTGATTTTGACAACTGATTTACCTCTGAGTCTCCAAAGGAAGGTTTTATCATTTTGATTTACTTCTTGGGACAGTAAATAACAATCATCACATTAAACATAATGGCCAAACCAAGTATGTTGCAGAACATTTTTCATTCAAATCAAAAAAAGCATTAAGAATATGTCATTTGTGAACAGAACAGAAGAAAAAACACATGATGTTACTGTAAAAGCTAGAGCGGAAGCTGCATACTGAGTTTAATAAGCAAAAGAGAGCAACAAATCATCATCTTTTCCAATCTCTCCTGACTCATAACAAGCTATTCTAGCTGGTGCAGCGGTTGCCATGGCAACAAGGTGAGCGAGTCCTGGAGCGCAGCAGTGTTTGAGCTCGATCGCCCAGCGCACCTCCAAAATGGCCCATTACTGAGCAATTCTCACCAGCATTACTGCTCTCGTTCTGTGTTAAAGGAAGCGGTTAGCTTTGGGGTAAATGATTGTGTTCCAGTCAAAATCATTACTTGTAAATGGCATGCAGCGGTCGAACCTGAACCAACAATGAGAGA